TTCTTACAAATAATAAAAATATTTAAAAACAGGAAAAAAATTATTATATTATTTTTTATTTTCGTTCATCATTATTCTCATTTATTATTATATATTCAAATGACAAATTCGTATTGACTTGTCAAATAAAAAGAATTAAAACTATATTACTTAATTATAAAAAGTGTTCGCAATTTGGAAACGCAATAAAAATAAGATCAACGTTATTTTCTGTGTTCCAAATTGCGAACACTTTTTTCTTAATTGGCTTAATTTTTGTTCGCAATTTGGACGTAGCCAATATTTGAATGATTTGTTCATATATATTAATTCATTTTCCAATAAAATTCAAGAAAGTCGAATTTTGATAATATTCTATTTTTTTATAACTTAGGATAATGAATCAATCAGATAAAAGGCGCGTTTCTATTTTCTTTCATCAACATAACTACTCATCTCAATATCAACATATTTCTTGCTTGAATAATCTTATTGAAAATATAAAATAAAATTGTGACATGTTCAACGAACCATTTATTAATTGAAATTGGTAAGTTATATGAATTATAGTTCAGATAAACTAATGATCACAATATAGGATTAAGAAATGTGTTATGTAATACAATATTAATGTTCCATTTAGTCAGATTAAGGATTTGCTACAGCTTTTTATTTAATATACTTGTTAGTAAATCCTTCTAGAAATCTTAGACATCAGAATTGGACTATTAAACATGAGTAAAAATAAATAAATAAACTATAGAATCCTTTTAATAAATTTTTACGATCATTTGAGAGAAGAAACAAACCTTTGAGCTAGAAAATAGTTTTTTTAGTTTATGTATTCAATTACGAACTATTGATAAACTTAAGTGTATTTTCACGAACATTTGAGATGTAAAATAAACCTTTGAGCTAGAGAACAAAAAAAACCGTTTTTATTCTCTACAATTAACTACGAACTATAGTTATATTTCAATGTATTTATACGAAGATTTGACATGAAAACGTAACTTATGAGCTCGAAAATAGATTTTCTCTTCAATTGAGGAAATTAATTACGAACTATTGATAAAATTAAATGTGTCTTCACGAACATTTGAGGTGGAAAATAAACCTTTGAGCTAGAGAACAAAAAAATCGTTTTTATTCTCTGCAGCTAACTACGAACTATAGCTAGATTTCAACATAATCATAGGAACATTTGACATGAAAACAAAACCTATGAGCTAGAAAATAGAATTTTTTTTTCAATTGACATATTTGATTACAAACTATAGCTAGATTTCAATGTATTTATACGAACATTTGACATGAAAAATAAACCTTTGAGCTAGAGAATAAAAGAATTCTTTTTAATTTCGATAATTAACTACGAACCATAGATAGATTTCAATGTAGTTTCACGAACTTATGATATGAAAAACAAACATTTGAGCCAGAAAATAAAATTTTGTTCAATTTATCTGTTGAATTACTAACTATTAATAAACTCAAACGTATTTCTACTAACATTTGAGTTGAAAAATAAATCTTTGAGCTCAAAAACAAAAATTTTCTTTTCCATGTATTCAACTTATTACAAACTATAGTTAGATTTCAATATATCTTCACGAACATTTGACATGAAAAACAAACCTTTGACATAGAGAATAGAATTTTTCTTTTTCTAATGGGTGAAATTAATTACAAACTATAGTTAGATTTCAATGTATCTTCACGAACATTTGAGATGAAAAATGAACCTTTGATATAGAAAATAGAATTTTCTTTTTCCAATAGGTCAAATGAATTACGAACTATAGTTAGATTTCAATTGATTTTCACGAACATTTGAGATGAAAAATAAACCTGTGGCATGGAACATAGAAATAAAAGTTGTGATCATTGGATTTATCTAACTTAATCATATAATTTACTTGAAAGAAAAAGAAGAATTTGTAAATAAATGTTTACAACGACAGTAAATCACACGGCAGTAAATCCTGTAATCCGTTCCTCTAACCTCAATGTTACAGATTTTGTTATGCTTGGAAGCTTTTTGTCTTTATTGTCACGTATCGATCTCCGACAGATTGTTTCTGACCTCCATCTATACAGATTAGTTTGCGACCAGAAGTTTTTCCCCTGTTACTCTTAATCACACCCAAAGTTTACTAAATTCGCAATTACGTTATATAAGTTTTCATTTTTTTTTATCTCTTTGATAACTGAAGTCCCTGGATGGTGTAAGAGAAAAAAAAGAGGCCAACAAGTTATGTAACATATAGACACCATTGTAGAATTGAGATGAATCAAAAGATTAAACAAATAAGAAACAGTCACGGAAAATGAATGGATGTAATCAGGACTAACATACATTGACAAATCGATCCCTTTAGATAAAGTCAATCATGAGTGTCAATGTCATACGTATCTATCTCAATCATTTCCAATATTCACATCACCTTGGCGCTAAGTGTATAACGTTGAAAATCGTTTCTTTTACATTTCGAGTCTACTTAATAAGATACTCACTACGATGAAGCTAATAAACCGACGTTGTTTTTCTTAATGTGAATGATGTGTTATAGTTGATCAAATTTTTAGCTTCTTACACGGTTGGTTTGTATTTTTTTTTGAATAATTTGTATCTTAATTTTGCAGCGTGGTCGACCTTTATCTTCCGTTGTTATCTGTTTTTTTAAATTCTTATCAGATGGGTACTCTATGAGAAGGACAACACATATTAGCAATAAAACATTCACTGAAAGAGAAGATGACGAATGACGACAAAAAAAACAAAAAAAATCATACATGTTCAATGACATTCATTTCATATGGAATGCACGGATTAATATTTATTTTGCTATGATCTGAGATGATTAAGATCGTTCAACATTTGACAATGACTAGCAAGGAGATATTTCAATGTATCTCTATTCATTTAATGATAGTTAACGCATTACGACTCTCCTAGACTGGCTCTTGTAATCTCATTTCACGTTGAAATAAATCACATCTTCTTGAATGTGTTCTATCGAATACGAAAGAATCAGAGAGATGTGGTAATGTAGACATATCATGAAGTTTTCTTTTGATAATATCTCACAATCAAAAGACACTACCAAAAATATGTTGAATAGAAAATTGAACATTTTCAGAGAATGAGGGTAAATTTATATAAATATCCACGTCTTAAAAAATTTGTTTAAGAACAAAACATCGATTAGAACTAATTGTCATTAGAAAAAATTATTATATAATATCAATATGTTCTCCTGTGTAACTGTTCTATTGGAACTGTTTGTGATGTCACAGGCAAATAAACAGTGATTCGATGACAGTAAAGTTGTATTGTCTTTTTTTTCTACATACTACTATGTCAACACTTATCATTCATATTTTGATAAAAATGTATGCTATTAAAAAAATAAAAATTACATAAGATTGTTGACAAATGAATATAGATATTTTTTTCCATCTGTTTATTTTTGTTTTTTTTTAATATGAAATGCGAATACATGTCTTCATTGATCTTCTATGAATAATTTCGAAATTATATGTAAATATAAAACAAAATTCATCGATTATATCTGTTAGGTTCATTATAAAATGATAAATGACAATGATAAAGCATACTTTATATAGCTATCTTACCTTTATGCTACGATTTGGATTTCTAATTAGAACATATAAAAGAATAAAAAGAAGAGTTACTGGTTTTTCTTATTTGTTTTCTTCCTAATTATTATAAATGTTAGTTATTGATCATCGATAAAACAACAACTTTCAAAGATGGCAGTCACATTCGATCTAGTCATGACCGGTATTGAAATTCGTTTTCATTATCTCATGACCACTAGCCTCGTTTTTATTATCTCGAGAAAAAAATGCAATAGAAGCACAACAATAAACAATCGCCGTATACGTTGAGTGAAAAACATTATCTTAATTTTTTCGTGCTGTTGACGAAATTGAGTTTAGCATATGGTTAAAACCTCTACATTCTTTTTTTTTGAAATTTATAGAATAAACTAAATTTCATCAGTAGTTTTCAAAAAAAAGATATTGGAGATTACGAAAGTCTTGCTATTTAACTATGTGTCAACATGTAATTGTTGTTTTACTTTTCTATATCGTATTTTCAAGCATTGAAATTTCGATTTTTTTCGTCGTTGCGTTTATCGATGAACATAAACTTCGATACCTCTATGTTTTATGAGAAATCACGTAAGATTCAAGAATTGTTAACCTCTCCTCATTATTTTTCGATGTACGTCAACACATCGACAGTCTCTAATAGTTAAATTTATTAGAGTGTGGGCGAGTTTTCTCCTGTCCAACTAATAAGATTAAAATCGGAATGTCTGACCCAACCAACATTTTACTATTGATCAATTTTCTCCTTTGTCAATCTTCAAGAATAATTTTTAAATTATACGACTTGAGTATGGATATGTATAAGAGAAGAATCACAGCATCAAACACACTCCAGTTCACCCCTCCCCTGACATCCATAACGTCTAACATTTATTCAGATATCTTTATTTTATATTAGATACATCTTTGTTTTTCAGAGTAGATTCAATGTTGCAAACTTTCGTTTTATCGTTCAAGATGATTGAAGTTGTGACTAATTGTTGTTGGTATCTATTGTTGTTTATCTTTAGATTTGTGCTCTTCGTCGTTGCCATCTATAGCAGTACTTTCAACCGTTGTTGGTGCAATTGTAATTCGAAGTTCATCGTTGGTCGTTGTTTGCAACTCGACATTTGACAAAGGAACTAAAATATTTTCATCATCGTCAATACCATAGGTATGTGCCCAAAAAACCAAATCTGCCAATGGATTTTGTTGAATAGTGATATTGGTGATAAGTTCATCATAAATTTTTTCGATTTCAGGAGCATCATTTCGTATATGCATCGTGCGAATAAATACAAGAAGAATTTCTCGAATTTGTTCCAGACGTTGTTTTTCAATTTGTTGACATTGAGAAAAAATCTCTTTTGCTTTGTTTCGATATTCTTGTTTAGTATTCATATAAATTTCTTCAGCTTTTTTCATTTTTGTTTCAATTCGCTTTAATTCATTTTCATATTTGGTATGAATAATTGATTTTTTCATTAGTTGTTTTTCATTGATAACTTCATCATTTGACATTTTTTCAAAATTTTTATCTGTATTCAAAATAGTTTGTTCTATGCGATGAATTTGATCACGTAATTTGTCGAGATTTGTTTTTGCGTCGACTACAGAAATATGAGCACGTTTAAAGAGTTTTTTGAATTCACGATCCCAGGAGATACATGGGGGATCGGATCCTGTCGGATCTGAGAATTT